GACGATCTCGAAGATAAATTCCATCGGGCAATATCGAATAGGCGGGTAATATCCAGAGTGAACGAAGCCACAACAAGGCTTATGACCCATCCGCACGAATTTTCCGCTTTCGATCCCCGTGGTGTTTAATCTGGTAAGTTTCGGTAAAACAATACCCCTGTTGTTTCCTCCCGTTGTTGCCGTGGCGTCGTGTCCTTCAATGCTGTAGGCATACAGTCTGTTAATTCTGCTGTCGTATCGGGTCAAGCAACCTTCTTGTATGTCGTCTAAGTTTCGGACTTCTTCGGATTTAAAAGATTTCATTTCTTCGCATACTTGATTGTAGTTGTCGATGTCGTTTAATTGCTGTCCCGCCCCATTGCATCTATAACGAGTGAAGAAGGCGTGGCTTTCTCCTAAAGGTCGCAGATATTTAGCTACGTCAGTATCAGTATTTACGACATCGAAGAATAAAGAGACGCTGGATAAATCGAGATAATTGTTGTCCTCTCCTGTGATCACGAACTTTAAATATTTATTTCCATTGGAAACGCTAAAGATGTTTCCGGATACGCTGGGAAAATGCACCTGTTTACGATCCGTGATGTATGCTGCACTTTCCGGCAATCCAAACTGGAGAGAGTTGATCATGTTGGGCTCACTTTCGGCTATTACTAAATCCATTTGTATATACTTTAATTAGATTTTTTTATTATTACTTCTATTATTATACTTTTTATGTGCAATCAGGGTCTTGTCTGTCTTGAGGTTCTGAGTTGTCAACTGCGGTTGTTGCACTGCTTGAGCATCCGTTTCTACTATGCTCCGTATCGTTTCATATCCCGAATTGTTCATTTTCCGAACTATACTGTTTTTGAACCTGAGGGTTTCGGGGGTTTTCCTACTCTCACGATTTCATTTTTATGTCTCTCTTTGTTAAGCATAAATATAATAATAAACTTAGAAAAATTCTATCAAGGATTTTCACCAGCCGGTAATGTTTCGCTCACTCCTTCGAATGCGTCGATGTCGTGGTTTATCAAGGGGTTCAGCGTATCGGTGTAGACATTTATAGCTCCTCCGTCGAAAGCGCTTACAATGTCCCCGACCTTCCTAAATCTCTTGTGCTGTTCCGTGTTAGGTTTGAAACCCATGCTGAAAGTAGGGCTGTTGTAAGTTCTGGTTTTCAAATTTCGTTCCGGAAAGTCCTTAGCCAGTGTCAACACGACCGGACCGGCTTGACTATGTCCCACCAATTTGGAAACCTGCGGGTTCTCTTTCAGTATTCGTTGCGCCTCGATGTATCTTTCCATATCTCGCACCCCTCCCAAAACACCAAAGGGCAACTTCGTAAAATTCTCCAACCAATTAACGGCACTCGTCGTCCCTCCCACATACATTTTATTTCCTCTGACATATATTTTAATGTTCGTGTCGTAAGCCATCCTGATCCCTTGAATGTTTGTGATCTTGTTGTTAGCTTCCAACATTTCATTTATTTTAGCTTCTATTTTACTCATCACGTATATAAATAGAAGTATAATTTTTATCTTTTGATTATATATAGGACATGAGTTTTAGACCGCTTACTTATAAAAAGATATATGTGAATTCCAAATACAGAACCAACGACAGTAAGTCGCCTTCAAGCTTTCAGATCGAGCTGAGGGAAAACTTTGAAATTCCCGACGGGACAATAGCCCAGATACACGAAGTCGCAATCCCGAACACATGGTATAGCATAGGCAGCAACAACAACAATTTATACTGGAGGCATCAAGTCCTGCCACCCGCGACACCGCAAGGGATCACCTGCACGAGAATAGTAATTCCCGAAGGCAATTACACAGCACCGGAATTAGCCACCCAAATCGCAACCCAGCTTAACGCCGCTTTCGATAATGTAAGTGTGAGCAGAACCAACACCTACACCGGCACTTATGACAATTTGACCAACAAAATAACAATAGCCTCTAATTACACCGAAGTTATATTTATACCGCTGACAGATGCCGATGTGCCCGATTTTGCAGGTTCTTTTTCCAATTCCGTAGGTCTCAACAACTTGAACAGCATAAACGAGGTTTTGAACTTCACTCAAACCGTAGGCGACAGCTTCACTTCTACCAGTCCATGGATTACGGGATTTATAATTTTACTGTCTTATCACGATGTTTATATATCATGCCCCGAGCTTTCCAACAACAATTTTCACAGCCCTTCGACTTTTACAAACGCCATAGTCAAAAAAATCCCAGTGAATGCACCCTTCGCGGGTATCATCGCAGATAGCTACGGTGTCTCGGATTACGATTACACCAATGTCTCGAGAGGCTCGATAAGGCGGTTATAACTTTTAGAATAACCGACGAAAGCGGCAACCTTATAGACCTTAACGGGGCAAATGCCAGTCTTAGCATCCTCTTTCATAATACAGATATGATGTGAAACGTAACTAAAGAATTAGCCGCCATTGACGAAAACCCAGAACAAGATGAACCAAAACCCGAAAAGGCGCCCAGCGAAAGCACCGAGACTAAGGAAGAGATGAAGCGAGTTAAAATTACAGAAGTCGCCAAACAAAAGGGAGAATGTAAAGACTGCAAGAAAACGATGTGTATGAAAACCCGTCGTTATTCTCACCCCACAAAATGCGAAGGGAAGCCGAGCGACATATTACAAAAACCCGTTAGAAAAAACAACCTGAAACCAAAAATTAAGGTTCAAAACTTAGCACCCGAACCGGAAGAAGACAACGAACTTTTTACGAACGAACCACAACAAATTCAACAACAATCGAAGCCTTTAACAAAAGCTATTGTGCCACATGTTCCAACACCTAAAACAACTATGATGCAGCCGGTTAATCCTTATGCCAACCTCTCTCAAAGCCAACTTTTGCAATTGCAACTGAGATCGATGAATGCAGAAATCCAAAGAAGACGGCAGGAGAAGGCTGATATGTTAGGTAAAGCTATGTTCTCTTCAAGAAGTAAAAAATCTAAATAAACAATATATACAATACATGGTCTTATACAACAGATACAAAATTAGGCAACAAAAGAAACAGAAAATGAAGCAGTCCTTAGACAATCCCGTTGTCGAGGATGTAGGCGGAGCTTCTTTTAACAAACACAGCGTAGACTATTTATTGAAGCTTAAAAAAGAACTCGAAGCGAGAGAGGCACAAGTAGCGAACATGGCTTTGAAACGAAGATTGTTAGAGGGTCAGATGAAAGCAAACTACGAGGTTGGAACACCTGAAAAAAGATCTGAAGTGTTAGAAAAATTAAGTGAAGTAATTTTCTAAATAAACATATAGTATAGAATGGAAGTTAAACAGTCAACACGAAAACCACAGAAGACTTTAGCTAAAACCGAAAAATACAATTTCATAAACGGTCGCGATACGAAGACATTTTAGATCTTGTAAACGACAACGAAGACGCCTTGAAACCTTTTCCTAACAGAGATGCCGTATTTTACAAACAGAGCAACAAGGGTTCGTATTTCGACGGGCGGGATCACTTAGAAAAGTTAAGGGTGGAACAGAACAGAATATCCGAAAGAGAGATCAGGGACAGAATGGCGAGACAATACGCATCGGACGAGGGGAGGACACACAGAGCCTTGTTTACGGAACACGACACACGAAGAACCGAGCCCCAAATCTTCAACATGGAAACAGACGACGCAGCCACGCAGGTATTCGGAAACGGCGACGATTTCGTAGATCCGGAGGGCGACACGAGTAATACGCACGCACAATGAACACAGCTAATACAAAGAGCCGAAGAAGCAAGGCGAAACAGTGCCAAAGCAATAACCGAAGCACACACCCAACAGATGGAGGTAGACCAGCAGGGAGGGGATGGCATTTTACACAATTTAGGCAGAGGTTTAGCAAGAGTAGGACAAAACATAGCAGCGGGAGTAGCAGCGGGGCAAGATCTAAGAGCAGCAGCAATAGCAAGAGTGGCAGAACCAGTGATAAGCGGGGTCGGGGATATGGTGATGAGACGAATTTTGCCACCGCAACGCCCAATATTAGACATAGACCGAGCAGTCCAGAACGCCAACTCATCACCGCAACAAGCACCAAACACACCGTCCAGCACCACCTTAAGCTTACCACCTTCGATAATTTTACACCCGCACCAGCCCAACATAGGAGCGACACAGCAACCATTACCGGCAGCACAGCATTCAGCATTACCAGCATTTACACCAGCACCGCGACCAACCCCCAATTTTCAACAAGGCGGTTCGTCAAGTTCAAGCGGCAACGCAAACGCACCACCGCCACCGCAACAACCGGAACAGGAAGAAACAAGACCCGCACCGAAGCGACGAATGACAAAGAAAACCAATTTAAAAAGAAAGCGCCAGAACGGACGCCACTGAAACTAGAGAAGAACAAAACCTAAGACCCGCCATCATCCCCAGTAAAATAGGAATACAAAAGCTTAGAGAAGTATTTGACGACGCCAACAATAAAAAGACAACAACCGGTGCCACTTACAGAAAATTTAGAAGTAGCTATAATGCGCGGATAGGTGCTAAGGGAAACCGCGCTATGAAAAAAGCCCACCTAAAAGAATTACAGAAGCTATACCGCGAAACCGTCTATGGAAAACAATAAAGAATATCAAAGTCTAAAAATATTTCAATAAAATCACATCCTTTATTGAAATATTTTCCCGTCTGAAGTATCATCTCCAGCCTTCTACTAGCTCAGAGTCGACAAAACAGATAGAGCGGATGACGGGTGATGTATGGGAAGAGTTCTATTTTTGTTGAGAGGGGCTTTATTCTGCCTAAGAAAGTCAAATTTTCCCTTGAACTCTAGCCCCCCGAAGCCCTAAACTCTAAAAGGGCTGAAGCTGTGCTTGAGACATTGTCCTGTTTGCTCGCAGCTACGATGCCGAGAGACAGGTAGAGACACAGACCGTTTTAGCAGGCTGCTGTATAACTTTCAGTTCAACTTGTTCCTGTTCGGGACGTGCGTTCGTTTGTTAGCAATGCCGAGTAAGAAAGCCATGAAGTGCGCAATGACTGGCAAGACTACGAAGAAGATGGCGATGCTGAAGAAAAAGAAGGCAAAGACGGTAAAGTTCAAAGCAGGGACTGCAAAGATTGAAACATCAGTTTCAAAGCGCAGCGAATTTACGGGAGCTGCTTTGGAAGCATCCGCGAAAGTTGGTGCTCCCGTGGGCGGTCTGATCGCGCAAACATGTGAAGCAGCGCATGCTGGAGCTCCCGCAGCCCAAAAGTTGCGGCCGATCTGGGAAGGGGCGCTTCGGAGGACCTACGGCAACACGAAGGCCGTGTCTGCGTGGGTTTCGGAAGCGTGTCTACGGGGCAAGCCCAGCTGTTGGCACTTGGCTAAGGCATTGCACAGCATGTATGACAACAACCAGATGCCAGAGGATGACGATGGTTCTTCAAACATGGTTGCCTTTTTGCCGACGGTGGACTTCGACGCTGCAGGCTTTCCGAAACCAGACGAGTGTGACCATCCCTTTTTCGCCTACATCCTTTGTCGCGGAGATGCTGCTCGGGAGATTGTAGGTGACTTCGTTGCGGCTGTTTGCCGGAAGCTTGGGCTGACCAAGGTCAGCGGCGGCGTCTACAAAACCGGAGACTATCTCAGCATCGTGAAGAAGTTCCCGAAACAGTTGGAGGAAGCTGCTGAAAATTTGCGGACACATGAGTTCGACTACGAGAAGGACGAGCCACTGACCCTCGTTGACCGTGTCGGAAATAAAAGGAAGGCAGCCTACAACTGTATCACGAAAGCAACCGTGGTGGATGAGGTCAAGAGACTGGCGAACATGGCGGATGTCGATGTCAGTCACAGAGCCGCACCTGATTGGTGCTCAGCTGGCTCCCGCAAGTATTTCAAGCTGAGTATCCATGGAGTTGTGCACTGGTTCAATCTGCGAATTCGGGCTTGACGAATTCTTCGACACAAGCAAGCACTTGGGCGCTTTGCCTAATGGCGGGGATGACGACGCTGAAGAAGAAGCGCTCACCGAAGCAGAGGTGAAGCTTTTACGCAGAGCCCCACTGGCATGGAAGCTGTCTTGCGAAGCACTACCGGAATGTGCGTGACAGACAGTGTTGTTTCACCGCGAGGCTTGAAGCCAACATGCCGCTAGAGCCAAAATAGATGTGGAGCATCCGGCGAGTGACCGTTTCGGGATTTCGGGTTAAGGAAGTTTACAGGGCTTCTGGGCATGTCAGGACGTCAGGGATCGTTGGGATTCGAGGGTTGGTGATCGGGCGCTTTCAGGCTTTTCAAGGCTAAGGGGTTTAACAAGGAATTTTAGGGATATTATATTGGGGAAATGCTTGAGGCGGGAAGGTCAGGAATTAGGGATTTTTACAAGGATTATTGGGAAGTGTAGGGTGGGGTACAGGGATAAAACGGTTAAGGTAGGAGGGCGGTTGCTGGGAAGTTACGGGAGGCTATCCCTAACCCCCCCCCCCCCAATGTAACAATCCTTACAGCGACTCTGGAGACTACTTGGAGGTTCATGGGTAGTTATAAACGGGGTTATACGTCCCTTGATATGAACTATAGTTACCCTACTTATAATTATAACTCCGCTTATAACTACCCCTGAATCAAACCCTAAACCCTTAACCCTAAACCCTAAGCCCTAAACCCGAAACCTTAAACCCCTAAACCCTAAGCCCTAAACCCACTGAACCTCCAAGTAGCGATTGAGGTCAGGCCATCTTGGGCAGCAGTGATGCATCGACCTACAGCAAGGAGGACCCAAGAAAAAAGTCTCGGAATTCTCGTCCTCCCAGGGTTTCGGTCGAGTTTAGGGGCCTAGAGTTTAGTAAGTTTCGGTGAGCTTCGAGTTTAGGGTTCTAGAGGTCAGGGAGTTTGGGGTTTCGGGTCAAGGGTTTAGGGTTTGCGGCTTCGGGTTTAGGCTTTAGGGATGTTTAGGGTTCAGGTTCGGGTTTACGCTTCAGGCTTCGGGTTCCGGGCTGCTGAGAACCCCGGGCTGGCCAGGATGGTGGACCGAATGGCTGCACCTGGGGTTTAGGGTTTGCGGTTTAGG